AAGAGGCATCCTAAGGGGGGAATGAGAGGGTATGGAAGACAGGTTCCCAAGCATGAGAGGAAGCCAGTAGTCATGGGTGATCCCAGGACTCAGGTAGGACGGAACAAGGACCAAGTGGTTCACTAGTTTATCACCATGCTCCACCTTGGCCAGGGACTTAGAAGGGCTAAGCCAGCAGAGAGACTTGGTGCCTGGCACCAGGGCCTTAGTAGAGTTGAGAAGGCAGGAACAAAAACCAACTCTAGGAGGAGTGGTCTCATCCACCGGAAAGGGTCAGGGAACAAGGTCCACAGGATTGCGGTTCCAAGGGCAGAGGGACGGGGCCAGGTGAAGAGGGTCAGCCGTAGCGGTAAAGACCGTGGTTGTGGGTACCTCCAACCCCCAAGAGTAACAGAGTGCTGTGGACACTCCATGGTCACTCCTGTAGTGAGATATTTACTATGTCCCCACCTGTGGCATAGACCACGCCCATTGGGGGTGGGGACAGGGGCAGATGTTACCTGGGGGAACTAAGTCTGAGGAGGGGGTTCGGAGAGCTCTCTTGCTTGCAGCACAGGACAGGAGCACATGGGGGGGCATCCTTGGGACCAGGAATCTGTTGGTGTTCATCTATGTTATAAGTTATTTCTCCCTGAACAAACATCTATTCGACCTATTTGTTTCTCCTGATTCTTATTAAACATCAATACACTCCCTCAGACTCAAAGAAACACGCAGGGGATACTCACCTAATTACCTCTGGTGATGGGGTGCTGAGCGATTGGTGAGCCAGGTGTGTTGCCGGTGGACTGGAGATGAGGGATAGGGTCCCAGTGCAGCTTAGACCATGAGGAAAATACAGGCCAATAGGAGAAAAATAGGAGAGCCAATCTGAGTCTTGGCAACGAATGTAAGCATCACAGCTCAGATGGAAAGGTGTCCTAGCAGCCGGGAGCCTAGGAATACCAAAGTCACCACACAATAAGCTTCACACAAGAGATTTATTGGGAGGAAAAACAAAAAACAAAACAAGACAAGACAAAACAAACAAAAAACCAAACCAAAACAAAACAACAACAAAACCCCACAACAAACAAACAAAAAAAAAAAAAAAAAAAAAAAAACAGAAAAACCCCAAACCCAGGAGGGTGGCTGCCTCTACTCAGTCGAGATACAGCTGCAAACTGAACAGGATACTGTTCTTAAATAGTTTCTTGGTAAGTGGGTGGAACTTTTCAGGGTAGAGATTTCCAAGGTGGAGATTGAACTTTTTACTCTGTAGAGTGGGGGCAGGGTCCAGCCGTTAGGGCAGAAACTGGCAGTTAGAGAGGTCCTTGGGAGAGGGGCCTGGCCACTCATGTGGCTCAAAGGGACTTGCAATGACCACAGCAATGCTTATGAAGAAAAGCATTTAACTGGGGGGTGGCTTACAGTTTCAGAGTTTTCGTCCATTCTTGCAGAGTGCCGTGGGGGTGGGTATACAGCAGGTGACAATTAGTGTTCGGCAAGCTGACCCCGTTAGGGTCGGAGAGAAGCCCCCAAGGAAAGACCCACAGTATGCAATAAAACAAGAGCCCTCTTATTCATTCCAACATGCTGGGGTAGCTCCTGGTGTCTCTGAGAGAAACCCACAGCCCCCTTTTAAACCAGGTCAGGGGGACTCCAGGGACGAGAGATTGTTTTGGGGACTGATTGGTGGCTTCAAACAGTTTACGGGTTGGGTTGCTGCAGGATGGGTTGGCGGCTCATTAATTAGGGGCCTCTCAGCTTAGTTCTCTTAAGCTTGCAATCGACCTCTGATTGGTTGCACCTGGACTGCGGCTTTCCCAAGAACTGCTTGCTCAGCTCCAGCTGGTTCCAGTAAACTGATCTAAGGCCCGGTCCCTGGCAGTGGCCTTTAGAAACCTGTCTGGTCTGGCTTCCTCGCCCTCGACCCACTAGATGAGTGATTCTCTGATAGAGAGCCCCACCTGGCAGGGCCACGGGGTCCCTGGCTGCAGGTCACCGTCTCTGTGATTTCTCTCATGTGCCGCTTCATTTCTTCCCTATGAACTTCATTTCTTCCCCAAGAACAGCTTTGGGTGTGTTCCCACTGCTTGTGTGTTTATGTTGTGGAAATATTCCATCTATTGGGCGCACATATAGCTATGGGTTGTAAGCAGTAAGGTTTTTCCGCCCGCCGCTGGTCTTATCCCCGCTGCCGCGCCAGCCCCAATTAACACACCGAGACTCTGTATTTGATATAATGCTCTTGGCCAGATACTAGTTTCTTATCGGCTAGCTCTGTCTTAATTATTAACCCATTTCTATGTATTTCCATGTGGTCTTACCAGGGAGAGGCGGCTGGCATCCTGCTCTCTCCAGACTCTTTATCTTGACTCCTCCTTACTCCTTCCTCTTTCCTCCTTGTCTCCTAGTCCCTCCTATCTTTCTTTCCTATTGGCCAACAGTGCTTTATTCATTAACCTAGACAAATGCCAGCCAATCAGGTATCCTGAACCTTAAAAATCCTTCATCCCAACCTCTACTATGATAAAAACCCCACCCCAGCTGAGCTCAAGGCTCCCTGATCATGACAATGCATTGGACATACACAGAGTCTGAGTTCAAACGTGAATAAAGGTGCATTGCTTTTACATATGGGATTTGGTCTCCTTGTTCGTTTTTGGAGGACTCCAGTGATCTGGGCATAACAAGTCAACTGAGGTTGGAGGTGGTTACTGTAGCATGACCCAATGAAAGCTGACATACGTTGAGAGATTGAAGTTTACAGATGGGTAAACCCAGCTGCCCTCTGAGGTTGGGACTTCTCTACTTGAATATTGTTTAATGCCACGTGCCATTGACATTGTGAGAAGTCAAGAATACACCTGTTTTAATCCAGGAAAACCTGGCCTACCTCTCACCTACCTGCCCACGGAAGGTGTATGTACCCGTCTCTTTCCCACTGTTCCCCTGGGGTAGACAGGGACTTTTTCTGTCTCCCTTGTCTCTTCTGTCTCCCCACCCCCTGCCCCGTGTCTTCTAATAAAACTTCTCACTTAAGTTCTGTCTGCCTGGCGTGTCCCCCCGAAGCCCCCCCATATGCTTTATTCCTAACAATACCACTTGGACTTTGCTGGTTTGGCATAAGAACCAATAAAAGCAGAAGCTATAATGATCATTCAAAAAGGCCCTCCTTAACGCTGGAGGAAAACACAGTAACCCTATCCCCAAAGCTAGGAAGTCAGCAGTCCTGATAGAATTCTGAAGATAACCTGTTCAAACAACTGACAGGGTTGCCTCCACACATAACTTATATACTTCCTCTCAGCTTACCATTATTCTTTTCCTGTGTAACACGCGGGAATCGCCTCGTGTTTCCAGGGCTTCCTAGCCTCAGTTTAGGTACCTCTATCCTATAATGCTTGGAGCAAAGACTCTGCGGTGTTTTCCTCTTGTTGATCTGTCATACCTCACGTTAATTCCCAGGTCCATCTGGGACCCCATGAGGGTGGAGGCGGGGTTCTGCCACGCTGTGCTGGTATGTGTGAGTGAGCAGCCTACGGACCAGGTTCTTCTCACTCATCATACAGTGCTTCCTGCAGACTTCCTCCCACTCTCCTGGGACCCTCTGCTCCTATAGCCCTCAACGCTGCAGAGCAGGCAGAGGAGCCCCAGAACTCGCTTTCTTCCTGTGGTGCCCTTGGAACCAGTGGCCCATTCTTTACAGACCAGCTCCTCCTCTGGGCTCTGCTTTTTACACTTTGTTTCCTTTTTCTATGTTTGTGTGCCCTGTGTGTGCCAGTGGAGGCCAGTGGTTGATTTGAGTGTCTTCCTCAGTCCTTCTCCGTCTTACTTCTTGAGACAAGGTCTACGAGTGAACACAGCTCGCTGATTCCGCTAGATTGCCTGGCCAGTGAGCCCCCCGGGGACATTCAGGTCTTTGCTTGCCCAGCGCTAGGACTACGGACGCCTGCTACTTTGCTGAGTTCATCTCCCCAGCCCTATTCCTGCGTTTGTTTTACCTGCATATATGTTAGTGTGTTGTGCCCAGACTCTGAACCCCCAAAACCAAGAGGCTTTTTAAATTTATGGGGCAGGGCATATATTGGGGTAGAGAAAGGGGAGTGTCCGGGGTCTAGAAACAGTCTCGAGATTGGTGCACCTCCAGGCTTGGGGAACCTGTCCTCCTATGACTCGCTGAGTCTTTTCTGCAACCTGTCATGGCTGCCAAAGCACGTGTACCACGTGCCTACCCGGTGCCTGAAGAGGCCCTAAGAGGGTACGGCATGCCCTAGAATTGGAGTTACAAAGGATTGTGAGGCGCTGTGGAGATGCTGGGAGCACCCAGTGTTTGTTCTTAACCACGGAGCCATCTCCCCAGTCCCTCGCCTCTACTCCTTTTGACATAGTGACATGGTTCCTGAGTTTCTGCCTGGACCTCCAGCCTCAGCCTCACCACTCCTGGGTATTGTGACTCTTCCTTTCCCAGGCTCTGTGGGCCTGGGAATGGGGCTAGTTCCAGGGGCAAAAGACCTACTGCCTGGTCGGTCGGGCCCCCCAAGTGTTACCTAACTTCAGTCAAGGAATGGAGTTCTTAACTGGTCCGGATAATAAAATGCCGGAGTGTATCACCACAAAGCAGGGTCTGAACTTGAAAACATCACAGGGCTTTAAAAGCTGAGAAAAACACAGCAGGGGAGCGGGGGTGCGGGGGTGCAGGGGTGCAGGGGTCGTTGCTCCAACTCTTGACACAGCCACAGCCAAGCAGCACTTGGAGGAGACACCTGAAGCTAGCAAAGAGCCACCCAAAGGCATCCTGCGCAGGCGCAGCGCTTGCGGAAGTCCGTCGAGCCTCGCCTGCTACGCCATTGGCCAACGGGCTTATGCAGCTCAGCTCCTCCACTTCAAGGGGGCGGGGAGAGTGTGTGCGCATGTGCCGGGATATCCGGGGCGGAGTCTGGGGCGGGACAAGGGCGTGGCCCAGAGGTCCCTACCCCAGGGGATAGTTCAGCTCTCTTGGACTGGGAGAAGAAGCTGAGTATTACTGACAGAGGCTTCCCGGGCCGGAGCAGAAGGGGACTTAGGAAGTCATGAGTGCGGTGGACCTTAGTCGCGTGGGCGCGTGTGTCTTGAAGCATGCAGTGACCGGGGAGGTGAGGCCTGGCCGGCGCACCTGCTCCGGTGCCCTGCCAACTCACATGGGCTACAGTGGAGGTCCTGAGGGGTCCCCATGGGTTCGCGTGCTGGGCGTGGGCACAGCTGGTGGTTCACAATAGGACCACCGATGGGGCTGCGAATCTTGGAGCGCCACACTGCGGGACGTGTGGGGTTGTAGGACTTAGGGAGATGATGAGCCCACGCCCCCTGACAGCTCCATTCTGCAGACCGTGGAGCTGCGGAGCCTTTGGCAGGATAAAGCTTGCGTGGTGGCCGGTCTGCGACGCTTCGGTTGCATGGTGTGCCGTTGGATCGCCCAGGACCTCAGCAACCTCCGGGGCATCCTGGACCAACAAGATGTGCGCCTGGTGGGCGTGGGGCCTGAGGCCCTGGGTCTGCAGGAGTTCCTGGATGGTGGCTACTTCTCAGGAGGTGCGACTGTTCTCAGACTCCGAACCTTGGCTGTCCTCTCTGCCAAGCCCCCAAGCCCGGGCCATCCCTTTCCAGGCCCAGCAGGAACATTTCCAAGCGTCAGCACTTTCAGCCTTCCTTGCTCTGTCTGCAGCCTGTGCACTGGCTGGCGCCTAGACCTAGTGGCAAAGTCCCAGTGACTCGCCCTGCCCATTTAAGCAGTGCTGACATTCGATCCCACAGTGCTCCTTTTGGCGTGGCTAGGTTGAGCTGGACACCATGAGGGAAGGGGACAGATGACAGAATGTAGGAGGCCTGGGGCACATACCTGTGGCTTTTCTTTTTAGAACTCTATCTTGACGAGAGCAAGCAGTTCTATAAGGAGCTGGGCTTCAAGCGGTAAGTGTGACTGTGGGAGCATGAGACTAGCCGGGGACGGGAGGACAGGGTGGCCGCTGCTCTGTTATGCGTCTTCTTGCTACCACCCTCTCTGCCTGATGTGCATGCAGTTTGTCCTATGGAAACTGACTCTGGTGGCATGGGCAGTTTCAGCTAGCCCTTCTTTGGGGGTCTTCTCATGGGTGTTGGTCCAAGCCAGGTCTACCCTCAGCAGTCTGAAGTTTCATAAACAGGAGGGACCTGGGAGCCCATGCCTCAACCTTGGCCCATTTAAGTCCTCTGTTGCCACAGACTGGCTGTCATGCTGGGCAGTGCCAGCTGAGCCAGGTCCCTGGGCACACCCAGTTTGGAGCTCAGTCCCCATATTCCACCGGCTCTCTGGGGCCTCAGGCCAGCTGTGTTCAGCCTGGGGCTCCCCGTGCTTCTGTAGATGCTTCTGGTTAGGCTGGTTGCTGGTCTGGCTGAGACCCTGGGACACCAGGAGCAGATGTGGGTGCCTGGGCTTCTCCAAAATCTGGGCTGCTAGGGACCCTTTGTCTTTGTAGGTACAACAGCTTAAGCATCCTACCGGCTGCCCTGGGAAAACCTGTGCGTGATGTGGCCTCCAAGGTTTGTGTAGCCAAGATCATACAGGGTTAGAGCATGGTGGGAGTTCCTGGGGAACCTCCCTATAGGACTGACCTATAGGTCCTGTTCCCGTCTTTCCAGGCTAAGGCTGTTGGCATCCAGGGGAACCTGTCTGGTGACCTACTGCAGAGTGGAGGATTGCTGGTGGTCAGCAAGGGTGGGTCAGGGCAGTGCATAGGACTCCATCTTGTCCATCTTAGTGGTCCATGTCCTTACAGCCACCCCTCTCCATCCTGGGTACCTGGGCAGGGGGTTGGGCTGCTCGGCTGGGTTAGTAGATTGCTCTCCCTCTTCCTGGCACATGAGTATATGAGATACAAGCGACTTGAGTGTTTGCCTATGGCTACAGGTGGTGACAAAGTACTTCTTCACTTCATCCAGAAGTCCCCAGGTGACTACGTTCCCCAGGAGAACATCTTGCAGGCCTTGGGTATATCTGCAGAGGCTTGTTCCAGCAAGCCACCACAGGCGAGTAGAGGCCTTGGGGGATACTGCTTGTTTCCCAGCCCCAAATTATGTCCATCTATATCCATCCATCCATCCATCCATCCATCCATCCATCCATCCATCATCTATCAATCAATTTATCTATCCCTTTGGGACAATGTTTGGCATGGCCAGGAACTAAGCTACAGCCTCCTGGGATTTACATAATTTTCTTTGTGCTGGTACCCTTGGGATGTAGCTGTGTTTCTATGACTCTGCTTGTAGAGGGGAATAGGAAGAAAGGACAGAGAAGGCTGTGGGTTGAGGAAAGCTGGGCTGTGTCCTAGGCGTCTGTGTCAGGTGGTGGAAGGGAGTAATAAATGGGTTGGCTGCTTCCGCTGTCCAGCATGCCTCCTTCTCCGTTTGGGTGGTGGGCACGGCTCTTGGCCTCTGAGGAGTGTGGTCAGACTGACAGAATCCCTGTTGTTCCTACAGTGTGATGAAGAGGTGTGTGGGAGGTGATGCCTGGCCTCTGGGGACTTGGCGGCATTTGCAACCTTGAATGTATTTGGAGTGGAGAGAATCACCGTGGAGCCCCTGGGACAGGATGCTGGACACCGTCTCATCCTTGAACAGCAATGAGCCATTAAAGTGTGGGACCTGGGTAGTGTGGGTCTTTACTACCTCCACACTTTGCCTCCTCCGCAGTTCCTACCATACTGTTGGTCCCTCAGGCAGGAGGGGACGCCAAAGTGCAATCTTCCTGGAGGACAGACTCCAGGCCATGGTTATGGGACCCTGGGGACAACAGTGTCATTTCCTTCCAACATTGCCTAACATAATAGCTCACTTCATTGGCGGGTACGGAGAGGAGAGTTGGTAGGACTCTGGCCCCAGCCCCCAGATGCAGCCCAGTTGTGGTGGAATGGAGAGGCAGGTGTCTGCTTGTGTCTGGGGTGGAGGTTGGAGGCTAACTGGGTTCAGGGAAGAGGTGGCAGATGAAGACTGTTGAACTGGTTCTAAAGCTGGAAACGCTTTCCTGATCTGAGTGGCTTGGTGCTGTCCTAGGAGAAGCCTGGGCCTGGCTGAGCATGTCTGTTTCCCCAAGGTCCTAGGGTCTGAGAAGAACTTCAGACACCCCATTTCAGGCCTCCCCTTCTCAAGGGATCTTCCCTCTAGGTGGGCTCTGCTGACCAGCTTAGCACTTCCCAAGACCAAGGCAGGGTGACCACAGTGTCCGTCTGGCTGTCTTCCCTCTTTGCAGGGACTATCTGTAAATAGTTAAGCAGGCAATGCCCTTTGCAATCTAGACCATCTCTGGCTTCCAGAGTCCACCTGTTACTCTCCAATGTCGTGAGGTCCCTCTGCCAAGTACTTATGTGAGTCACCAGGATATAGGCCAGGTCCAGCCCTGGAAGCCCAGTCAACTGGATCGTAGACCCAGAGGGTGGTTCTCTAGGGCTGCCTTGGTTTCTCCAGGGTTCTTAGCACCAGGATTCTGGGAAGCTAGTGTTATTCTCTCCCTGGCCACAGCTTGCCCAGCTGCCTCACCTGACCACCCACCTGGCTCCTACACGAGCAACGCAAGGCCTTCTCTGAAGCGTTTACTTAGCTCAAGTCCGAAGCTCAAGGACATTTAGCCACACACTATGGAGAGGGTGGAAGACAGCTGTCAGCTCCTACAGGGCTGCTGACCCTCACTGGCCTGAAGGGGCGCCGGACCGCCATTCATTCCAGGGGCGGGGCGGGCGGGCGGGCCGGTGGCTGCACTCTAGGCCAGGTGCGGAAGGCTGACCGCTGGCTGGCTCCAGTGGCCTTCAGGCAAGGACTTGCACGTCTCCACCGGCTGGCACCTTTCACGAAGCCTCTGGGTGGCAGGTGGGCGTGGGCTGCAGCATAGCTCAGCCTAGGCTACCAGATGCGACATCGCTTCTTGGGGTGCATGGGGCTGCCTCTTGGGCAGTGGAATGCCTCGGAGAAGGCGGCCAGGTTCTGTAGTGAGCCCAGTACCCTGCAGACCAGCAAGTCCAAGGAGGTCTGAGATGAGGGGAGAGGACTGGGCAGGGGCGGGCATGCATGCTTGCTTGGGGGCTGTACACTTGCCTGTACTTAAGAGGACTGTGGACGTCAGTCTTGATGGACTGGATGGCAAACTCAGGTCTGTAGGAGCCACACCACACCTAGAGGTGCATGAGTGGCTTGGTTACTGGCTGAGGGCTGCATCAACGCCCTCTCTACGGTACAGAGGCTGACAGATCCTTCCTTCCACATCCGCTGCCTCCTCCCCTGCTGGCTCCCAATCACCAGCTTCAGGTTTTTTTCTAGGAAGTCCACCAGGCTCGCTAGTTCTGGCTTGGGGGTGTGGCAGGCTCATGGTACCCTTGGGTGTGCCCTATCCTGGGGCCCTCCAAAGCTGTGAGAGTGGGGACCAGGACTAGGTGTTACCTGGGCATAGTTGACGAAGAAAAGCTGGGCATATGTCAGGTTCAGTCCCGGCAATCGCTGATCCTTGCCGCCTTCAGCCAGCCACTGTATATAAGCCTGCAAGCAACAAACTGGGGCTCAGTCCATCCCGGCTTCCGAGGAGCCTTATGCAGAATGATCTGGTTCTAGGACCTTCCCCAAGTGGGTACCCTGCCTCTCCAGCTTAGGGCCACTGTGTACAAGCCAGCTAATTCTTCTGCAGCCTTCTAATGGCCTAGCCCACAAAGCTCTGTGGGGCCATTGGCCATATAGCTGCCACCCGAAGTCCACCCATATGGGCTTCTGGTATCCAGTGCTCAAGTCCCAAGGCTGTAATGTGGGCTGCTGAGACCCATAGTCATGTCTCTACCCTATCTACTCATTAGGAGACAAAACTGGCTCCTACACTAGCTCATGTGGGAAATGGGTGAGATGTGTCAGATATACAACCGTAGGATTTGGATGGCTGCCTCCTCCCCATTGCAAGTGGAGGTTCCTTTAGGACACAGCCCAAGTTGGGGTTTTGGCCTGCCACGCTGAGACTACCCCAGCCCCCTCTGAGAGCCCTGCTAGGGCCCACCTTGTACGCCTGTCGTACACCACCGTTGTCAGCGATATTCTCCCCGAGGGTGCTGAATCCGTTCACCTGCACAAGAGACACCATGGGGGGCAGCCTGGCCTCGGCCCTCTCTCGCCCCACGGGGCCGGGCGAAGGTGCAGGGCCACTGCAGTACTGGTGACATGCTTACATTCTGGTCGTCAGCCAGGTCCCAGGAAAAGTTGTTGTACTGATAGATCATGCACTCTGACTGTTCTCGGAAGTGCTGGGCTGAGTAGTTACTCCACCAGTCCAGCATGTTGCCGTTCTTGTCGAAGTTCCGACCTGGGTGGCCGAGGAGGACATGCACGCTGTCCCCCCAGGCCCTGCTTTCACTCCCCTCCAGCAGCTGCAACCCAGGGGTTCTGAGCACACGGCATCATGTTGAGGGCTGCTCAGGAGAGCATCTATGCCAGCCTATCCTTGCCCCTGAAGTTAGGACCAGGGCTCTCATTTCAGCTGATCTAAACCCAGGTGAGGGGGGCACATGACTACTCTCATATGACCCCCCCCCCCGGACTGAGCCACATGGGAAAATCAGGCAGAGACATCATAGAGGGTGTCAGGCTGTAAAAGTCAAACAGGGCAGCCCCTCCAGGGATGGAGATCAGGCAAGGCCCCTATAATCTACTGAGAGATTGAATGGATGATCCCTGGCTGCTCAGTAGAGATGGGAGTGTGTATGTGAGTGTGTGTCTGTGTCTGTGTGTGTCTGTGTGTGTCTCTGTGTGTGTGTCTCTGTGTGTCTCTGTGTGTGTATCTGTGTGTGTGTCTCTGTGTGTGTGTCTCTGTGTTTGTCTGTGTCTAAGTGTGTGTGTGTGTCTGTGTGTGTGTGTCTCTGTGTGTGTGTCTCTGTGTTTGTCTGTGTCTAAGTGTGTGTGTGTGTCTGTGTGTGTGTGTGTCTGTGTGTGTGTGTGTCTGTGTGTGTGTGTCTCTGTGTTTGTCTGTGTCTGTGTGTGTGTCTGTGTGTCTCTGTGTGTGTATTTGTGTGTGTGTCTCTGTGTGTGTCTCTGTGTGTGTGTGTCTGTGTGTGTGTCTCTGTGTGTGTCTGTGTGTCTGTGTGTGTATCTGTCTGTGTGTATCTGTTTGTGTCTGTGTGTGTGTCTGTGTCTTTGTGTGTGTCTGTGTGTATGTATCTGTCTGTGTGTGTGTGTGTCTGTGTGTGTGTATCTGTCTGTGTGTATCTGTGTGTGTGTCTGTGTGTCTGTGTGTGTATCTGTCTGTGTGTATCTGTTTGTGTCTGTGTGTGTATCTGTGTGTGTGTATGTATCTGTCTGTGTGTGTGTCTTGTGTGTGTGTGTATCTGTTTGTGTGTGTCTCTTTGTGTGTGTCTGTGTGAATCTGTGTGTATGTGTCTGTGTGTGTGTATCTGTCTCTGTGTGTCTGTGTGTGTCTGTGTGTGTGTGTGTCTGTGTGTGTGTGTCTCTTTGTGTGTGTCTGTGTGAATCTGTGTGTATGTGTCTGTGTGTGTGTATCTGTCTCTGTGTGTCTGTGTGTGTGTGTCTGTGTGTGTGTATCTGTCTCTGTGTGTCTGTGTGTGTGTATCTGTGTGTGTGTCTGTGTGTGTGTATGTATCTGTGTGTGTGTGTCTGTGTGTGTATGTATCTGTCTGTGTGTGTGTGTCTGTCTGTGTGTGTATGTATCTGTCTGTGTGTGTGTCTGTTTGTGTGTGTGTGTCTGTCTGTGTGTGTGTATGTATCTGTCTGTGTGTGTGTGTCTGTGTGTGACGTGTATCTGTGATTGGGGCACTCCCATACACCCCTTTACCATTGTCATCAAAGCCGTGTGTGATCTCGTGCCCGATCACCATCCCGATGCCTCCAAAGTTCAGAGACTGTGGTTGGTCCTTGCTGAAGAAGGGCGGCTGGAGAATACCGGCAGGAAACACTGTCCCCGAAAGGGTGACAAAGAGGAGCTGTGTTACTTCTGTGTGCCAGGCTCAGCTGGGCACCTCTCCTGGGCCTGTCATCTAAGGCTGAGGCTTAGGAAGTGGAGGCTAGGACTCCCTGCCCGATGTACAGAAGGAAACTGAGCTCAGAGACTGAAATCGGAGAGCTACATTAATGACCCACGCCCAGTTTCTTCCCACCCACTGCTGCCTTCTCAAAGACACGCTCTAATGGTTCCTCTGTGTCCCTTCCAGCCTATGACTCTTGAGCTGGGCCATAGGACAGCATGTAGGAGACTGGAACCCACTCTCCTTTCTGAGATTAGGCTGGGAGTTTCCTGAGTGGGGGTGAGGGGCTGCACTCTGGCACGAGAGAGGCAAGGTGGACTTACCGATCTGGTTTCTGTTGGGGGAGTAGAACGCATTGACCACGGCAGCCCCGATGATCCAGCTGTGGTAGAAAGACTGTCATTTGGAGCCCACATCTGCCAGGACCTTCCCTATGGTCCCTCTGCCTTAGCTGACCAGATCCTGCCCTGAAGAGGTCCATGGCATAGTGGCCATCTAGTGCAGTGTCCTAAACCAACCCCAAGGTCTGGTTCCTGTCTGAGGCCCCCAAAGCAAAGGGTATTGAGGCAGGCGTGGGGCTTAGGTCTCTTTAGCTGGCATCAGGCCAGACTCACGTAGCCACCCCTAGCCAGTAGGCGAGCTCTGTATGCCAGGCTAGTCTTGTAGCCACTCCACTCACAGGTTCTGGTCCACCTTTTCCCGAAGCTTCTTGAGGCTCCTCTGGGCACTGGCCTTGAGGTTCTGGAGCCCATTCTCAAAATACAGATCCTCGGAGAATGTCAGCTGTGAGAAGAGAAAATCTTGGCATGACTGGCACTCAGGCTGAGTCCTCATGAGTGTTAGAGGGTGGGCTGAGGGTTGGGGAAGGGTCTCAGGCCCCACAGGTCAACTGGCGTGTGGCCCACAGGCTCCTGGAGCAGGTAAGCGGAAGGAGGGTGTCCTGGCTCTGAGCATTTATGTGACTTCCAGAAAGTTTAGTTTCTCTGGGCCTCCATTTCCCCATCTGTTAGCAGAGTGAGATTAGAGCCACCCCAGGGTGTGGAAATATGGCTCGGTGAGCAACTAAGAGCAGAAGTGTGGCTGACATGGAGTACCGGTCCCCAGGGGTGTCTCAGGGGGGAGGGGGCGGGGGCTGGGGGAGGGCTAGGCAGAGTGCTGAAGGGTACGCACACTGGAGTATTCCTCGTCCAGATGCCTATTGTGTTCTTCCAAGATATAGTCAGGGTAGCCGATCTGTTCCCGGATGTTCATGGCCTGAATAGGGGAGGGGCAGCTAGGGTCATCCACCGTGGGAGGTCCCTAGTCCTACATCTACATGCTAGCTCCGTGCTCTGCTGTGTGGGTAAGGGGATAACAGACATGTTCCCTCCATCAGCTTGCAGAACCAGACACATAGGTGGGGATGTGTATGGGTGCCTGTGGTTTGTCACTGGGCCCAGGGGAGCTTGGATAGGTCCCAGCCTCAGACCACAGAGCTCCCTTCTGATTGCTGGGGATTTTCCACGAATGCCACCTGTTCCAGCGTCCCTCCCACTAGGACTGTCCCTCCATCAGCGGTTTTTGACACAGGAACTCCCCTCACGTTTTCATACAGATTGTAGCTCGCCCACCTTGTCCTGGGCCTTCTTCTTAGATTCATCATCCATCCAGTTCAGCTCATCCAGGGTGTCCACAAACACGGATTTTACCTTGTCAATCAGCTCTTTGACCTGGGGGGATGCATATCCTCATGTCCTAGGCTGGCCTAGGGGTCATCACAGCACTCCAGGTTTGGTTTGGGACACTTTTAGGATGAGGCCAGTGCTGCCCTGCCCCTGACCCTTTGGGAGGGGTGTGGCATTGATGTGGGATGACTATTCTGGCTCAGAGTTGGAGTCTCACAGGTGGGTTGGAGGCTGGCTTGCCCTGGGCTCAGAACTCATACATACAGTCTGTGCCTTTCCCAGGGGTCTAACAGGATCTAGGACTGGAGGTCATGGGCAGAAGTACCTGGGGGCAGGGTTTCTCTTGACCTTCCTCTGCTCTGGTGGGTACTGGTTTTAATGCATGTCCCTCTAGGAGTCACTGAGTTGGGGGAGGCAATAGGGGTTGAACTGGCCACAAACAGGAGTCACTGGGTGGGGTGGTGCTGATGGGGCTGGTATCCTTGCCAGGAGGCTGTCCCAGGGTGAGCTTGAATGCTGACACAGACTGTGTCCATTTGAAGTCAAGGTTACACACCATGTCCTTGCTGTCCTTGGAGAAGGCCTCCTTGATGTAGAGGGAGCCCACGGCGCTCTCCATGTTACTGTTGACATAGCTGACACACTCCCGCCAGCGCACCTCCTCCACGGTTGTGCCATACAGCGCCTGGTGCGTTGATTCACTCATCACTCATTCTATCCCATGCACCAATGCTTAACTTTCCCAGGTCATGTATGGGGCCCTGAGCTTGTGAGGCAGGCAGTTCCTCCCACCACCGACTTCAGGGTCCCCGGTGGGGGGGGGCACAGCATCAGACAGGATGCTGATGTAAATAAAGACTTGTCTCTACTCTGGAAAAGCTGGGGTCCCACTCAGATCCTGTCCTCACCCCCTGGACCACTGGTCTGCCTGCACACTATCCAAAGCTTATCCTAGACTCTTTATGTCTTGAAAGCCAACGCGGCCTCTACCGAGCAGCTCCCTACCCCGCCTGGTCCCTCCTCTGGTCACACTCGGTCTTTGACAGCCCAGGCTTCTGCTCTGTGGGCTTCTCTGACCATCGACTGTCCCAAGAGGGCAGGGGCCTTGCCTACCAGGTTGTGATGACAATGCATGAGATGAATGAACGATGCACTAACCTTGCGGTAGTTCACCCGTGCATCTTTGAATCTGTGGCTCAGGCTGCTGATGCGATCTAGCACCAGGCGCCAGACCAGATAGTTCTGTATGGTCCTAGAGGAAGCAGAGGTAAAGTGAGACAAGTGAGTGGCTGTCTGCCAAGGGAGGAGACACAGGTTAGCCACAAGGTTCTAGACCAAGCGGGGTTCTAGATTCTCTAAACAAGCAGCTTGTTTGTCCCTCATATCATTAGGGCGAGGCACCATCGACACCAAAGCTGAACCTCCGTGTCCCTCACACCTGAGGAGTACTTGGTGGCATCCCTCTCCTGAAAGCAGGGAGTGTGTGTGTGTGTGTGTGTGAGTGTGTGTGGTGTGTGTGTGGTGTGTGTGTGGTGTATGTTTGTGGTGTGTGTGTTGTGTGTGTGTTGTGTGTGTGGTATGTGTGGTGTGTGTGTGTGAGTGAGTGTGTGTGTTGTGTGTGTGAGTGTGTGTGTTATGTGTGTGTTGTGTGTGAGTGAGTGTGTGTGGTGTGTGTGTGTGTGTGTTGTGTGTGTTGTGTGTGTGGTGTGTGTGGTGTGTGTGTGGTGTGTGTGTGTGGTATGGTGTGTGTGTGGTGTGTGTGGTGTGTGTGGGTTGTGAGTGTGTGTGTGTGAGTGTGTGTGTGTGTGTGTGGTGTGTGTGTGGTGTGTGTGTGGTGTGTGTGTGTGGTGTGGTGTGTGTGTGGTGTGTGTGGTGTGTGTGTGTGTGTGGTGTGTATGGTGTGTGTGTGTGTGGTGTGTGTGTGTTGTGAGTGTGTGTGTGTGTGTGAGTGTGTGTGTGTGTGTGGTGGGGCAAGGACAAGGTTGCTGTGGAGACATTCTCCAGCCTCACCGTGCTGAGTAGATGTCAATGATATCCTCAAGGTTCTCTAGGTAGGGGATGCCGTAGACCACCACTTCCTCATCTGGTAACAGGTTGACTTGGACAGAGGACAGCACACTTTGTATGAAGAGGGTCCAGTTAAACCCCTGTAGAGAGAGGGGTAGTAGGATGGAAGAGAGAGGTGGGTGATCCTTGTGCACCCACTGAAGAACACCTGAGGAGCAGGTGAGAGAGGAATGCTAATAAGAATCAGGACAAAGGGTGACATTCCCCCAGAGCCCGTGGCCTGTGAAATTGCTAAGAGTCTATGCAGAATATCTGAAAATTGCGCGTAGTTGGGGAAATTACTGGACAAACACCACTTAGCAAAAATGATCAAAGTAGAAAATGTGACAGCCTTACATGTTGCATAAGCTGGGTAGTTATTTAATTTAATTTCGTTTTTAGCATTTATGCTGAGAAATTGAACAAAAGCCTCATGCATGCCAAGGCAAAGCTCTGCCACTAAATTCTACTGGCCCCATAGTAATTTTTGTTCTCGGTAAATAGTTCACACTGTTGAGCTTAATGGTGTACTTTACTTTGAAAAAAGTGTTTTGAGACAGGGTCTCTAATCAGGCTGGCCTTGAACAACTTATGCAGCTGAGAATGCTCTTTAACTTACTCTGTGTGTGTGTGTGTGTGTGTTTTTTTTTTTTTTCAAGACAGGATCTCTCTCTGTGTATGTCTGGTTGTCCTGGAACTCACTCTGTAGACCAGGCTGGCCTCAAACTCAGAGATCTGCCTGCCTCTGCCTCCCAAGTGCTGGGATTCAAGGCGTGCACCACCATGCCAGGCTTGAACTTATGGTTTAATTAAAAGATTTATTTGAATTTTTCTAGTGTTTGTCTGTGGGTGTCCATCGAAGTCAGAAGAGTGCTGGGATTACAGGTGATTGTCAGCTGCCTGATGTGGGTGCTGGGAACTGAACTCTGGTCCTCTCAAAGTCCAGGTTCTTAGCTGCTGAGCGATCTCTCCAGCCATGCCGTTCCAGTCTAGGGACATGGCATGTGAAACGCGAGCTGAATCCAGGGCTCTCCCAGGGTCCACATGTCTTACCCTTGTGCATAGCTGTGGATTCAAGTGCTTGTTTGTATGTTCTGACCTGGGCTCTGTCCCACCCATGGCCTCTGTCTGACATGGCCATTTGTAGCAGCTGTATCTTGCCCTGCAGAGGAGGACCGTTTGTCCCAGAGCAACAGTGGATGTCCCCCTGGAATTTTATTATCTGCCTAGGTGCCAGCCATAGGGTCTCTTCAAGGCAGGAGTAGCTGTGCGGGGAATAAATACTACCAGGGTATGTTGGGGCTGGGCCTGTGTTACTTCCTGAGTGGGTGCCTGGGTTGGGTCTCACCTTCAGACTAAACCTGTCCTGCAGCTCCTCCAGGTCCATCCTGTGGTACAGGGCGGTGACATCGTGCCTGTCCTCCTGGGGGACTGTGGCCTGTGTGGGGACCAGGGGTCACATGGTGTGGCACTCTTTGGTACCTTGCCCGAGCCTCCCAGGGCAGCCCTGCCTCACGTTGGCCAGATGAGCCTCCAGCTCCAGCACCTGCTCCATGTCCTTCTCCACCAAGCTGTTGTCCTTGGGCAGGTTCATATCTTTCCTCAGCATGGTGGCCACTGACGTCATGAACTGCAGGTAGGCTTCCCGCACCTGAGCCAAAGGACGATGGATGGAGCGGGGCCGCTTTGGCCACCTTGGCCACCATGGAGCGTTCTGTGGGGTGGGGGGGGTGGGGTGTGACATGGAGTGGCCCCTGGAAACGTGCCCCTCTAGCCTCCCCAATGGGCTCTGGCGTGGACAGCACAGAACGGAGCATGCAGGCTGTCCACACCACAGCCAACTGCCACTCTTGGGGCAAGCCTGCGTGATGGCCTCCCAGCTCTATGATCTAGGTCTTCTCCCTAAACTTGGGATGGAGCCACATTCCCTGGCCATGCTAGATAGCTCAGGACTAACTCCTTTTCGCCGAATGACCCATGCCTAGGTCTCTGTGGGTGGGGACATTTTTCAGGGCTGCACAGTGCCAAGCCGCCCTCCACAGGTGCTTAATAACTCTTTTGCCATTGGTGCCAGGGGGAGGTTGGACTGCCCTAGTTATGATTCTGCCATGGGGTGGGAGATTGACTCTTCAAGATGTTTGTCCCATCTGGCTGGACAACCTTCCTCATACCCAGTCTTGGAGGGGCTTCCCTCACTCCAGCTGATGCTACACACGGCCCCATTCCCTGCTGTGTTGGTCATTCCTGCCTCCTGCCTCTTCCCACCCTGTTCCTGGCCAGAAGTCTTTCTATCCATCCCAACTCTTCCTTCTACCCTGGCCATCCTGGGCTATTCCACAGTTGACTTCTCTCCACAGGTGCAGGAGCAGACTCTGCAGAGCAGGCTCAGGCAAAGGTGGGCCAAGCTGAATGGACTGCCTGTCTAGATGAGCTCACTCACTTCAGGGCTGACAAAGTGTGAAAATTGGGTGTCCTGGCCACAACCCCACAAGTGCTTACATGGCTGGTTTCAGGGAGCAAGGCTAGAGAACAAACGAGTGCCGAGCCCCGGTGGAGACCAGGATTTGTGAAGGGAGCTGCATCTGAGATGATCCTTGAAGCTCCTTGCTTACCTTGTGGTTGCTTTCGTCATTGAAATAGTACTCCCGGGATGGCATGCCCAAGGTGGGCTGGTCTATCTGGAAACACAGAGGGTGTGACTCCTGGCAGGTGGTGGAGATCCCTGCAGCCTGGCTGAGGTGGGCAGCAGTGCCCTTCCCCCAGGATTGTGCCCGGTAGAACACTGGCTCCCCATGGAAGGCAAATACTTCTGAATGCCATGGCTACTGGAAGCCTCCTGCCCAGGTGCCAAAGACCTCACTATAGGTAGGAAGAAGGCTAAGCACAGAGCCAGCCTTCAGAACATAGCAGGGGCCATGAGGTCCCATGGGAGCTTAGCACAACTCACAGTCACAGAGCAGACTCTAAGCCATGGACAGAGAACAGATATATTGGGCTCACAGATCCCCCCCCCACTAACCACCCCCTCATCTATCTCCCTGTTTTGCTAAAAAGCCCAGAGTTAGGCTCAGGGCCCCCAGTAGCCCTGACCCCCACACTACCCACTGATGGTATTGCATACATAGATGACATGCCGGCTGGAGTTCTGGTCGTCATTCCAGATAAAGAGGTCGATGAGCACGCGCCTGTTGAACTGCGAGTTCAACACAGCCAACTGCCGTTCCAGCTCCCACTTGGGGCCTGAGGAGTTAGTACCCATGATGGAGACCAGCTAGGCCCTCTCCAGACCGGGGGCACAGCCTCCAGCACAGCATTCCGTGGTGCAGGGAGCCCTGCCTGCTCAGGTAGTGAACTCACTGTGAGACTTTGGGGAATGAGGGGCTATCTCCCAAAGGGGCTTTAGGGAAAGAGTGACTGAGGGAATCACCAGGTGTGAACGAGAGATGCCCTTCCTATTCCAGGCATCACCCCAGCCTCTGAGTTGGGGTAGGCCACAGTCTGAGTGCTAAACAGGGATGTGAAGACTGATGTCTAAGATACTAAGAGGGATGCCCCAGTGCAGAGCTTCAGGGGACAAGCCACAATAAATACCCATAGCAGATGCCACTGACTCCCCAGTGTGGAGCCTAAGCCAGCTTTGGGGACCCAAGGTTGTTTCTGGGAGGAATGAGCTTCTTGGGGCTTCCTACGAGCAGGCAGTTAGCTTGTAGGCAGTTGTGGGGTTGAGTACCCTCTCCCTGAAATCTGCAAACTTGCTTGTACTTACCTATGGTCTCACTCCACTTGTCCATGGCCACGGGCCAGCCTCCTACCATATCTAAGATGTCCAGCAGGGGCTGTGAGTCTCTCTTCTCTATCACACCTGAGAAGGGAAGGAGTAGATGCTGACGCAGTCTCCTGTGGCTCAGGTGCCGTGACACATGCCCAGAACACATCTGCAGCTTTAGCTCGGGGTGGGGGGGTCGCTGGGGAAACACACAGTTCCCTGGGGTCCAGGAGGATGGGAACTTGGTAGCTGGCAGCAGGTGAGAAAGCGAAAGCCTAGGAAAGCAGTGGTGTCCTGGAGGGGGGCCCAGAGACAGAAGGTGTTTGGGCAGGAGCGGGCCACACAGGGTCCATGCGACTTGGTTCTGTAGCACGATGGCAGTCTAGAGGCTCAGGCAAAAGTCCAGAGCAGGGTCCCTCTAAAGAAGTGCTCTCTGAAATGAAACTTGGGAGAACTTCAGACAGAGACTAAGTGCAAAGGGCATATCCAAAAGTCACCGTCGACACAGAGGGGCACCCTCAGATGACAGGGCAGCGTTTTCAGGGATGGCAGAAACAAGGGGCTGATGTCCACCGTCGAGGGACCACGGGGAATGGTTCAGTGGAAAGGGAGGTACCAGTCTCACCATGCCGTGGGTGTGTGGTAAGAGGCGGCCTCCCATGGGGTTAGACAGCGGCATACCTTTCTCTGTTTGGGCTTAATTTGGAAAGTGGGACAAAGTTAGAGAGACCGGTGGTCATAAACAAAGCCCCTGCTGCTGGGGTCAAATGGAGCAGGGTTCTGTGCAGCTGCTGGGGGCTGCTGCTGTGGCTAGTGGGCTGGAAGCCGAGGAAGGGGCTCAGGATTCTGTTCACATCCTGCTGTCGTCCTGCCTTGGGTACCCAGCCTTTCAGGCAAGAAATTAAGAGTTTGATGGGATGTCTTCTGTACATGTGTTCCCTTATTGGTTGATGAATAAAACACCGTAGCCAATAGAGCAGCAAGATAGGCGGGTCTAGGAGATGAGGATTTTGGGAATTATAGGCAGAGAGCAGTCACCATGCTGGGAAGGGATGATACAGGTGAGGTGTTCTCCGGTAAGAGAAGACCATGTAGAAGTACATAGATTAGAAGTTATGGGTTAATAATCAAGACAGAGCTAGCCAATAAGAAGCCCTAGTCATTGGCCAACAGTATTATAACTAATATAGCAACCGTGTGTTCATTTGGGGCTCAAGGGCTGAGGGACCTGTTGGGCCAGAAAACTCATGCTTACAGATGTGAGGATCCAGAGGAAGTTGTATGTGCTTTGTAGGTATTGGCCACATGATTTGTAGAGATAGGACAGCACTGGCCATGCCCAAGCAGGGGTTTCAATAAAAGCACAGTTCCTTCCACTGAGTCCCATTGTTGGTACACAGGAATCAACCTCAGACTTCTAGGAGATTCCCAGGGAAGACAGCTGGCCCCAACCCTGCAGCTGAGCAGACAGGTGTAGTGAGATAGTCCTTCTGTGGCACTGACCACGCCCATTGGGGGTGGAGCCATGGGCGGAAGTGACCTGTGGAAGGAGGTCGGAGGGGGCCAGGAAAGGCTCTCTTTCTGGCGTGACTCGGACAGGAGAGGATCGGGTTGAATTTCCTGGTGTTCATCTGTCTAGGTTGTAAGTTATTTCTCCCTGAATAAACATCTTTTCGGCCTATTTGTTTATCCTGATCCTTATTTACCGAGATAGACAGGAGCAGTACTTTTGGACAATGTAACCACGGGCTCCGGGTTACAAAGCCCACAGCACAGGGCAGCTAGTAATGAGCCAGGCTAGGCGAGGCACAGCACACAGATACTTTGTATATGTCCTGCACCATGTTCACTCCCAGCCCCATGGTGCTTCCGTGTGTGGGTGTGGTGCTGGAGCTGCCTGGGCCCTAGTAGGTGGCTCAACTCACTTTCGTTCATGCAGGAGCGGTACAGTGTCTTGGCCTTCTCCACAGCTGGCCGGTCCTTGACAGAGGAATCCTCCAGCACCCCTGTGAGCAGAGGAAAAAACTTAATAGAGGTTAAGGTGACTGCTGGGGCCCCAGGTTAATTCATGTCTACTGTAGCCCTCTTGGCTACTTCTGGCCCTGGGCAAGCATCATCAAGACACACCACAGTCACAGCCCACTCCAACTCCTAGGCAGTGATGTCTCCACTGACCCAGCTGCCTAGAGGTCAGGCAGGAACCCACCCAAGGCTCATTGATACCACTATGCCCCCCCCCATGGTGGCTACTCTTCACCTTTGAGGATGACCTCTAGCTCATCCCGGAGAATGTCAAAGACGCTGTATCGGGAGTTGGTCTCGGGGATCACATGATGCCGCAGCCAGCCTCCGCAAGCATACTGGTAGAAGTCGTCACAGGGCTTCTCTGTCAAGTCCATGTTCTGGAGGATTCTGGCAGCTGTTTATCCAGAGGGGGTGGTGGAGAGAGGAGGGAGAGAGGGGAGGAGAACCTGAGTTGTGGACATCTTGACATTGTTTTGCCTCTGAGTCTGAGAGAAAGTGTCACCCTTTTGAGGACAGTTTGTCTGAGATTTAATTTCAACTATTAACTTGCTGGCAGATGCTAACTTGCTCTTGGGAAAGTTAGTCACGCCCCCCTGAGGCTAGAAACCCTGGGAGAATTGCCCAAGTAGCTTCAAGGACTAGGGCTGTCACTTATAAGCTACAGGACCTTGAACCCTCCTGCCTTCTCCCTCCTGACGACCAGATACTGGAGGAAGGTTCTTGTTCATAGGAAGGCCTAGCTGGTGGCTCCACCCTCTAAATTGTCATCAGGCCCCTGGCCTCCTGGCATAGCCCTTCTGTCTCACGCTGTCCCAGTGGACTCTCATTCCTCAATCCTCTGTCCCTTGGGGAAGAAAAAGATCCCCCACCCTGTCTATTGCCTTGAGGTTTATTATTTTTTTTTTAAAGGTTTATTTATTTATTATGCATGCAGTGTTCTTCCTGCATGTTTGCCTGCAGGCCAGAAGAGGTCACCAGATCTCATTATAGAGATGGTTGTGAGCCACCATGTGGTTGCTGGGAATTGAACTCTGGACCTCTGGAAGAGCAGCCAGTGGACTTAACCCCTGAACCCTCTCTCTAGCCCCCAAAGTTTGTTTTTCTTGTGAAGGGACAGCTGTGTCCTAAGATCTAGAGCATGCTGGTGACATGGGCCTGAGCTAAGGGCTCTGCGGTTCTGCTCACTTTGCCTGGGAAGCCCCTGGTTTGGAACATGTGCAGCTGGAGAGTTCAAAGAAGGCAGCATGGTGAGGCTCCAGGACACACTCGACAGGAAGATCATATTTCGTGTGTCTCCCCAGGCCTTTTTACTCCCGTTCTACCCTCTCCCCACAAGACTTTTGTCTGTTTTTGCCTCCTGCAGAGGGCAGTCAACTTTTAAGACAAAGTGTGGGGAGACAAATGTGAAATAAGATATCCTTTACTTTTACTTTGTTTTCTATAAACTTAGTTAGGAGGTCTTGGGTCTCTGCAGCCAGATCTGTGTGGGAGCCAGCCTCCTCAGCCTAACAGGGCTGCTCAGCTTGGCTTTAGCCAGCCACCTTAGGGGAGAGGCTCACCTGCCAACACGCATCCCGGGGTGGTACACATGTCATTTTTCTGTGATGATGACTCTCTGATGGCTAGAGGAGCAGAAAGAGGAGTGTGAGGTGTCGAGAGTTGGAAGGGATGGTACAGAGGCTTGGGTGCACACTGTGCAGGCTGAGGCCTGGGAGGACTTGGTGAGGCAGCACAAACTGGAGTGGGTGTGGCTGGGGGGCCTCCATTCTCCCCCACCCCCCATGGACACCCATGGACATGGGTCTGAAGCACAGCCCTGGAACCCAAGTGTGAATTTTACCTAGAGCCGTGCCCTGGGATCCCCTTTAAATTCTCTAACTCCATTGACCCCCTATTGTGGCCCAGAACCCAGAACCCTCAGGACTATGGCTGCTTGTGGCCTCCGACCTTGCTGTCCCACCAGCACTAAGGCATTTCCCACCCTGTCCTTACCCTGTCGTCAAAACACTGAAAGGTGGAACCAGGCAGACCTCACTAGTGGCACCCATCTGTGCCCAGACATTCTACATACAACAGGCACCGGAGTCTGCTGTCCCTGTCAGTACCTTCTCCTCCCCACGCCCCCCCTGTACTCCCTGCCCATCAAATGACCCTCCCCGCCGGCAGGCCCAGATGCCAAGCCCACCTCCTCAGGGCTGCCTGGCAGGGAAGGCAAAGGCTACCTCGTTTTACAACCGTCCTCTCTTCCTGGGAGAAGCGTAGTCGGCTAGTTAAGAGAGGCAGCTGCTTCCCTGGGGAGAAACACAGTGCTCAGCCTCTTCCAGGAAGCACTCCATGGAGCCTTGGGAATGGTTACGACAGAGCTGGTGTCTGTGTACAGTACTGTGGGCTCCAGTGCTCCCCACACAGTGAGGGCTGGGCACCAGGGAACTGAGACGGGGGGTGGGGGGGTGGGGTGGGGTGGACACTATGGAGCTTACTGTCTAGTCAGCCTCTTTTATCCCTCCCCCTCCTCCTACTTCCTGCTAGGCTGTAGTGGGTTAGGGGAAGGGGCCCCTATCTTGCTATTCCTATCTTCTTATCCTTCTGGAACCACCCAGGCTCTGCCTGTCTTCATCGGTGGCACTTCCGGAACTCTTCTCACCACAGGAATAAATAGGCTAATTCAAGGACACCGTGTCCTTGTGGGCAGGGGACTTCCCTAGTGGCAGCCTTCACCGGCCAGCTACTCTCATTGCCCGCTGAAGGTTCAAGCCCACCCTCCCGGTCCCTGTCTCTCCACACATGTGTGGAAGGAAGCTGCTGAGCATGGAAATCTTAAGGACCTGGAGTGGGGTTTGGGGAAGAGTGGGTCAGGTCTGGCCATCTTCAGACCTGGTTTATGGTGTTGAGGCTCCCCACATTCAGACACACAGACCTGTGGGGAGGAGGGAATGGGGTGTATCTGCTTAGCTGCTGGCACAGTCAGCAGAGAGGGGGCTGGAGGTACCAATGCATGCTCCTTAGGGCTAGGCAATGTAGAAGGCCATTTGTTCTACACATGAGGATGTTATAAACCAGACCGGACTTGAGGGTGTGGGCTCTTTTACCCCCAATCTGATGGTGCCATTGAGAGACACCTTTCAAGGGGCAATCTGAGCTCCAGGGACAAGAAAGTTGACTCCTCAGGTCTGCAATGGAAATGTGACATGAAAGGAAGGGATAGGGTCCTTGAGCTTTGGCTGCCCTGTAGGGGTGTGCCCATCTCAAAAGCAGAGTCGGGATGAGACACTGCATCTTGGATCTCACAGAGTCACACCTCCAGTGAGAGGACCTCACAGAGTCACACCTCCAGTGAGAGGACCTCACAGAGTCACACCTCCAGTGAGAGGACCTCACAGAGTCACACCTCCAGTGAGAGGACCTCACAGAGTCACACCTCCAGTGAGAGGCCCTCATAGAGTCACACCTCCAGTGAGAGGACCTCATAGAGTCACACCTCCAGTGACAGGACTTCACAGAGTCACACCTCCAGTGAGAGGACCTCATAGAGTCATACCTCCAGTGAGAGGACCTCATAGAGTCACACCTCCAGTGACAGGACCTCACAGAGTCACACCTCCAGTGAGAGGACCTCATAGAGTCATACCTCCAGTGACAGGACCTCACAGAGTCACACCTCCAGTGAGAGGACCTCACAGAGTCACACCTCCAGTGAGAGGACCTCATAGAGTCACACCTCCAGTGACAGGACCTCACAGAGTCACACCTCCAGTGAGAGGCCCTCACAGAGTCACACCTCCAGTGAGAGGACCTCACAGAGTCACACCTCCAGTGACAGGACCTCACAGAGTCACACCTCCAGTGAGAGGACCTCACAGAGTCACACCTCCAGTGACAGGACCTCATAGAGTCACACCTCCAGTGAGAGGCCCTCATAGAGTCACACCTCCAGTGAGAGGACCTCATAGAGTCACACCTCCAGTGACAGGACTTCACAAAGTCACACCTCCAGTGAGAGGACCTCATAGAGTCACACCTCCAGTGAGAGGACCTCACAGAGTCACACCTCCAGTGACAGGACCTCACAGAGTCACACCTCCAGTCAGAGGAAAACACAATAAAAACAGGCTGGAGAGATGGCTCAAAGGTTAAGAGCACTGACTGCTCTTCCAGAGGTCCTGAGTTCAATTCCCAGCAACTACATGGTGGCTCAAAACCATCTGTAATGAGATCTGGATGGAGCCCTGTTCAGTATACACACAAGCAGAACACTGTATGCATAGTAAACGTTAAAAAAGCAAAAACAAGACAAAACAATAAAAACAAAACCCCAACCCTAACGAGGACAAACAAAGAAACTGAGCTGGAATCCCAAGTGGTCAAGAGGAATGGCCTGCGGCGTGACACCACTATTAGCTACCGCCTGTGCAGTGGCTGCAGTCACTAAGCTAGCCTCTTGCAGCAGAGGCAGAAAGCTTACAGATATGCCATGTGCTTCACTGGATAAGTGGAAGCCACAGCAAAGATCAGGGCGTAAACGCAGCATGAGAAGGTGAGGTCACTGACAGTGTTGGGGATACTCAGGACCACTCAGGACACAGGCATGGGAAGGTCAGGAGTTCAAGCCTAGCCTCTCTACATAGCCAGCTTAAGGGTACATGAGATCTTGTCTCAAAAAAAAAAAAAAAAGTGAGTAAACAATGTCACAGGGGTCACAGACATTGCACCCCACAAAGGAAATATTCATGTCAGCACACACCAGACAGCAAGAATACCCAAACCTAAACAAAACATGAAGGCAAGGGAAGAAAATGAATAAAGGGAACAGCTACCAGAGCCAAGCATGGTAGCCCCAACTGCTTAGGAAGCAGACGTGGAGTGATTGCACGCTCAGGGCAGGCCTGGGCTATGTAGTGAGGCCTGAGCTGTCAAAGAAATGGAAACAACACACGACTCTCTGGCCTAAGGCCACAGGTAATGAATGGCTAGAGTGGATGGGATTCCAGGAAGGACCAAATTCCCTGGCATCCCCTGGTGTGTGTTTAGGCAGCTTCTATGGAATTCCAAGGCACGCGCGCACACACACACACACACACACACACACACACACACACACACACACACACACAATTCCTTGAGGGTTGGGAGCTGTCTCAGTGGGTAAGCATTTGCCATGCAAGTGTGGGAACTAAGTTTGCATCCCCAGCACCCAAGTAAAGACCAGAAGGTTTGGAGGTCCATCTATCTTCCCAGTACTTTCTCGGTGAGGCAAGCTGCTTAGCTAGGTTAGCTGAACCTGTCAGCTTTGGGTTCAAGTGAGAAACTTTGCCTCAACACTGAGGTTTAGAAGAAAACACCCAATGCCCACTTCTTCCCCCACCACACCTGCACACACGTGTGTGCCTACATGTATGAAAGCATATATATGTGGACACATGCATACCACACAAATACATGAAAGAATGCCTTCACAATCCTCCTGAAAGTTTGTTTTCCTAAAATTTTGTTTCGAGAAAGTTAAAAATTCCCTGACTTGACTAAGACCTTAATTGAACAAAGCCCATTTTATTATATGGGTGCCTTTGTATGTATGTCCACACATTAAGAGCATGCCTGGTGCCCATGAGACTGGATCTCCTGGATCTGGGGTTACAGATGTCTTGTGAGCTGTCATGTGGGTGCTGGGAATTGAACCTGGGTCCTCCAGAAGAGCAGCCAGAGCTCTGAACCACTAAACCATCTCTCTAGTCCCTAAGACCTTAATTTAAATAACTTATGTTTTCCCTCTCCTTCCCAGTCTCTTGGGGAAAAAAATAAATAAATTAAACAAAAAAACTACAGAGGGTTCAACAAGAGAACCTGTCTCAAAAAAAACAAGGTAGAGAGGCTGCTGGAGCAATGGCTCAGTGGTTAAAAGGGTTAGGGTTAGGGTTATGGTTAAACATACTACTGTTCCGGAGGACCAGAATTCAGTACCGAATTCTGGGGGATCAGACTCCCTCTTCTCACCTTAGAGAGAAACTGCACTTGTGTGCACATGCCTCTACACAAACACAACACACACGTGTGGGAAGAACTAAAAATGAACACATAATAAATCTTTAAAAGATCTTAGAACCTCATATTGATCTCTGGCTTCCACACCTGAACACACAGCTCATGCACCCACACACACAATCACACACACACCTCACATGTACATGAGAGAGAGAGGAGAGAGAGAGTGTGTGTGTGTGTGAGAGAGGGAGGGAGGGAGAGAGCTACAATGATGGAGAAGACTCATGTTCCCCTGAGACTGAGTAATCTGCTGGGGAGGTGGGTTATGTGGGAGTGAGTGTGCTGTGGCCAAGGAAACTCGTCCTGAGAATCAACACAAGGCTGTTCCAAATGGAGCACCTCAAGACACCGAATGGAAACAAACACATGTTCTCAGAGGGAAACTTCCACCACGTACATCACACAGAGGACCACAGACAAAGCCCACGTGAAATGAATTTATGTTTATGAGAAGAAGGTGTGCATACGTTAGGAAGAACACAGAGCAGAGCCTGGAGGAGCTCAGACACAGGGCACCGGGGGGTGGGTGTCCATGTGTCCTGTCTGGGTGCCCAAATGAGGCGGGTGTGGCATGCTCCAGTTCTAAGCCAATGCACCGAGCAGCCTGTGTGCTTTTGTGGCGTGTCCTCTCAAATTTCTGCTCTCCAGGGGAGGATCGTGACTAGCTAGGTGCTGTACCTGGATGAGGTTCCCTCAATACAAATGTGTGCAATCTCAGTCTGGCTTGGATCAACTTGACCTCAGCCAAGGACGGGTGCTGGGTATGGTTGTTTTGGGCACCTGGGTGTTGGGCTGTTTTATAGGTATCTAAGTTACACAGTGTAACATACTTTTGAAATACTCTAAAGAGATGAGATAATTGAAAGCAAACAAGGAGAAGTTAAAAATCATTTTGAAAAGGAACCACGTGTAAATGCTAGAAGCAAAACCATATGGGACAGTGAGTTGGTTCAGCGTGTCAATGTGTTTGTGTGAACCCAAGGATCTACAGTGGAAAGAAGCAACTCCTGCAAGTTGTTCTTGTCCTACATGGCACATATCTGACTGCACCCACATATTGCCTCTCTCTCTTCCTCTCTCATACACAGTAATAAATAAAATAATAAGCATTTTTTTTAAAGGAAAATGTTGCTGGAGTTTCTGTCCAGCCTGGTCCCACAGCCGCTTTGCTTTATATTAATGATAAAACTGTTGGCTGATGGCCAGGGCTTCTTACTGGCTAGATCTCTCTTAATTATTAACCCATAACTAC